TATATATATATATATAAATGAACAATAATAGTGAAGTGTGTTAAAAAAACTGAGTTATATCCTAATACACAATATGCTATGCCCAATATGGTCTAAAACTTGACAAGTGGGCAAATCTAAGCTTGTTTTTAATAAAACAAATATAAATATGCATATAATAAATAATGCTGCTAATAAAGATAACATTTTACAAAAGCAAATTGGTATTAATAAATTGAAAAAGCCCCCCAAAATGAAGAAGGCATGAAAGTATGGTTTTTATATGTATGTAGGCTTTAATCCTATATATATATATCCTTGTTATATCCTATATACATCCTTAATACTTTAATTATTTTTTGTTTGTAAAGATTTTCGTATTGGTCTACATTTTGTGTGTATTAAGCAGTGTGTAAACGAGGAGCACAACTAACGTGCTCTGCGCGTAGACTGGCTTTGTTCTGGCCTATAGAACATTCTATTATAGTTTCTCAAAATAGTAACGCACCAGCAATGCGCCTCAACATGCCTCCTTTTTTAGACCAATACGCCTATGGGTGCACACATGAGCGCAAATGCATTTGCTGTTTAACCAGTGTGGCGCAAAACATCAAAACGACTCTTGCGCAAAGCTAAAACTAGCAAACAACTATTGCGTCGCGCCTTGTGCTCCATTGCGCCGGGTGTATGATAGGGCCCAAAAACAACAGCATGAAATCAATATAAGGAGAGAGAAACAAAATCTAATTCCAGTTTTTAATCCTGAATTTACTCAATCCTAAAAAGTGTCTTCCTTAAAAATAAAAGATCTAGAAATGGTCTTCATGGAGCTACAGATTCCAATTATAGCTCCTTTTAAAGAATATACAGCACTGAAAGTAGCTGTACTCCATAGTAAACAACCGTCTGGATCTGGATCTAAGGGTCCCGGTGAGGTGAAAGGTCAGCAGCTGGGCTTAGCTTGTAAATTACGGTGTGATACAAGGTCAGCTCCCAGATGACTGGACATTTTCTCCATGTCAGTTTTTCTTCTGGTGTACATTTGAACTCTTGAATGTGCCCCTTCAGGTTAGTGAGATCTTGCTCACTAAAAATCAATGATTGGGAAATTAATTTTAAAGATCATTTTCTATAGAGCCAGTACACATCTATAATGTTTGGTAAATGTATCTGTAATGCATCCACAAAGCTTTAGAATCAGCCGCACGTTCTAGTAAATAATTGAAAGCAGTTATTATACACTGCTGTCCATGAAGTAATCATTAAAAACAATGCACAATCAACAATCGTGTTGCATTTTGCATATGATTTTTAGCCATGAATAGGTAATAAATATAATCATTTCTGACAAAATACAAGTACTACAAGTATTATAAAAGGAACCAATTGGGTGATTGTTTGGGTTTGCAGTTATCCAAAGCAATTCTCATTAATATACTCCCGCAAGGAACATCATTTATTCATTCATGCATTTATGTATGTATTTAGTTGGTACGTTCAATCATAAATGCAGTATTATTAACGGATAATATCATAATGTTTCATAATAACATTGAATAGTAATTGTAATGACCAGCCCAATCTCATAAGGAACATCGATGCATTGCAATTCATTTATCGATTCTTAGATTTTTGGAATGCATTGTGATTCTCTATGCAATCGATTCTGAACTTAGAGTTATTAACAGCAGATGGCGCTCTATGCTAGTTTTAATTGTACACTCTTAGGGCTGATTTATACCTTCACGTGGTTGCATAGCCCTCACAGTGGCTGACGAGCAGCTCTCAAAAAATGTAACTACACGTCGCAACGATGCATAGCGCAAGCTCTGTGATTGGTCGGCTTAGTAGCTGTGACAAGTGTAGGAGGTGTTGAAAGCTGCGAGCCTGAAGGAGCGAGTGTTTACAAGTGTCGAGTCCTGGGAAGGAGCTCCAGATGGAAACTTTTGTTTTGTGTTTACCTTACGATTAAAGTTGTTGCACGTCCACCGGTTCCTGCCTCTGAAGTTTTAGCTACTTGTACATTAAGTGTTACAGCAGAGGAACATAAAAGCACGCAGAAGTATAAATGCATAGCTAGAACACCGCGAGGAAACCAACCAACACCGGGAGAACATACAAACTCCACACAGAAATGACTCAGCTGGGACTCGAATCAGCAACCTTCTTGCTGTCAGGCTATGGTGGGAACCACTGAGCCACCATGCCACCCATAATGAATATTACATTCATTCATCATATTTTATGCTTAGTCCCTTTATTAACCTTGGGTCGCCACAGCGGAATGAACCGCCAACTTATCCAGCATATGTTTCACCCAGCGGACACCCTTCCAGCTGCAACCAATCACTAGGAAACATCCATACACACACATATACTACGGATTATTTAACTTACCCAATTCACCAATAGCACATGTGTTTGTACTGTGGGGGAAACCGGAGCACACGGAAGAAACCCACGCGAACACGAGGAGAACATGCCAAACTTCACACAGAAACATTAACTGACCCAGCCAAGACTCGAACCAGCGACCTTCTTGCAGTGAGGCGAACGTGCTACCCACTGCGCCACCATGCAGCCCTGATTCTTACATGTTAATTCTTATTTTTACATGATGTAAATGAGAATAAGACATTCTTACATTACAGTAATGCATTTTCCATTCATTACTATTTAGTCCCAGAATTAAAGATGTTAATTAAGAATAAATCCACATATGCCTAAAGAATATATTTATTTATTTGCTCACTGAAAAAGAATATTTTGAATATTGAGCATGTTTTTTTGGCTGTAATCAGAGGCGGTGCAGACCAGCGCAGAGTGAATGGGGTTACGGTGATGAAGGAAATGCCCTTTAATGAGAGGAAGACAGGAAACACTCCAATCAGCCCTTAGTGAGGAGAACATGAAAGAAAGAAGAGAAAGGCGAGAGAAAAACAAAGGAAGGAGCGAGACGGAAGAAGAGGGGAGAAAATTCTCCAGGCCTCGGTCTGAGTGAAAAGATGGTGGGGGTGGGGGGTGATGGTGGGGGTGACGGGGGGTTTGGACGCTTTCTTTTCCATCAGAAAAGATCAGAGAAGGCCTTCCTCAATTTTCTCTGATAAGTGGTGAATTACCAGAGGCACTGCGGCTGTGTGTGTGTGCGTATGTATGTATGTGTGTGTGTGTGTGTGTGTGTGTGTGTGTGTGTGTGTGTGTGTGTGTGTCAGTAGAAGTGGGAAGGGGGGGATGACACAGTGTCGAATATCGCATGCAGACAATCAGGAGACGATACGGGTCGCTCTTTTTCACACATGCTCACACACTATCGAACCAATTCATATGAAAATGAACAATTAATAAAACATTATATTTATCTTTATAATAGAGATGCATCTGCAAAACCAACTCCAATTGCATTATATTTATGCTTGTTGTCATCTTTAAAACCTTTAAATTAAATCACTTTAATGTTGGGCTTAAATGACAATTATAAATTATGCCTGCATATACACATTATATAAAAACAAACTTGTCAATCGACAAGACAAACTATTTAAATTAAACACATTTTTTTCAAACATTTGGACATAATAATAATAATAATAATAATAATAATAATAATTATTATTATTATTTTATTTTTATTTTTTTAATTTTTAAAAGTCTTTGTTGAATTATCTACAATTTTTTGAAAATTGTTTATTTAAAATTGTTTGCCTTGTTTATTATTATTATTATTATTATTATTATTATTATTATTATTATTATTATTATTATCATTATTATTATTATTATAAATACAATAATAATAAT